ATGATTTCCCTTTGGTGAATCCATGCTGAGTACTCCTGATCACCTTCTTGTCCTCCACAAGCTTAGTGAGGATGACCTTCCTATCTTTTTTTGCTAGCAGCTAGAGGAAAGGCTATACATTAGGATTTCACAGTTACACAAAGAAGGAACTCAGAAATTTCCTACTGCATGATCCGTAGCTGCTTATTAGCTCCTGTATACACTGAAACGACTCACGGAAAGTTTATCACCCTCCTACCTGCCATTCATTTAGAACTTAGTTCTACAAAATCAGTTTGCGAAGGCACAGATGACCAGGATTCCCCCAAGAGCCAGTAAGAAACAACTTGTTCCTCCAGATCCTATTACAACACTTTTCAATAGAAATATAACTAGAATACTAATAGCTAAACAATAATATACTTTTTCATTTTGCTGCATTTGCTGTCATAAAGGCAGCAGCTCAAACTTATTAGCCAATGGAAGAGCTACTTGGAGATCACTATAAGCATTAATGTAATATTTTTAAATTAAAGACATCGTTGAATTCTAGAGGTTGGCCAGACCCTCTTGGTTATTAAAGCAGCGCTTTGGAGCAATATGCTGTCAGTCACAAAACAAAGTTTGTGGTGACTTAAGCTCTACCACAAATATGAACCAGATCTAGAAAGTATCTTCTTGGATAACTGTCAGCAGCAATATTTGTCAGAATACTACTAGTGTTTTTTTAACTATTTGTCTGCACTTAGTTCAGTTCCTTAAATCCTTCCCGTCAGAATTAGCAAAGATTGCTCAGAAATATTTTTCAAGAGACTTAACGTGCAGATTTCTAAGCAAAGTCTGCAACTGTATATTGTACAGAAAGCAAATACTTTTAGTAGCAGAAATATACATCACCATCATCCTGTACAAAGCAAGTATCTAAAAGCTGCATTAATTTTTATGAGTAGTGTGACAAGTCTTGCCTTAGATCCTTCAGTACTATAAACCGCCAAGGAGTCTTCTGAAGAAGACTTTTTCTTGAAGGGTGGTGGTGATGTTGTTATTGTATTGTTTAATAGCAACTTTATAAGCCCGCAATAAGATTACATAGTTTAAGAACACCGCACGGTTCTACAAAATTAGATTTCTTGTTAGCTCAGCTCTTAAGTGTAAGAGGGAAGTTCTTTCAATTTCTCTGCCAAATAGCCATAAGACCTGACAGGAGTTATGAAAGAATCATCCTGTTTTCAACTTAATTCCAAAAGGAATGCATTTACTCTGATTCAAGTCACTAGAGAGGTTCCAAAATAACGGAAAGAG